GGCCTCCAACCTACTAGCAATGGCCTCCAACCTACTAGCAATGGCCTCCAACCTACTAGCAATGGCCTACTGGCAATTGCCTCCAACCTACTAGCAATTGCCTCCAACCCACTATCAATGGCCTCCAACCTGTTGGAGGCCATTGCTATCGATGGCGTCCAACCTACTAGCAATGGCCTCCAACCTACTAGCAATGGCCTCCCACCTACGATGGCCTCCATCCTACTAGCAATGGCCTCCAACCTACTAGCGATGGAGCGATGGCCTCCAACCTACTAGCAATGTCCTCCAACCTACTAGCAATGGCCTCCAACCTATTAGCGATGGCCTCCTAGCGATGGCCTCCAACCTACTAGCAATGGCCTCCAACCTGCTAGCGATAGTCTCCAACCTGCTAAATTAGCAATGGCCTCCAAGCGCTGGCCTCCAACCTACTATCGTTGGCCTCTAACCTACTAGCAATGGCCTCCAACCTGCTAGCGATGGCCTCCAACGGACTAACGATGGCCTCCAACCTAGGCCTCTAACCTACTAGCAATGCCAACCTACTAGCGACGGCCTCCAACCTACAAGCAATGGCCTCCAACCTACTAGCAATGGCCTCCAACCTGCTAGCGATACTCTCCAACCTATTAGCAATGGCCTCCAATCGTTGGCCTCCAACCTACTAGCGCTGGTCTCCAACCTACTAGGGATGGCCTCCAACCTACTAGCAATGGCCTCCAACCTACTATCGTTGGCCTCCAACCTACTAGCAATGGCCTCCAACCTGCTAGCGATGGCCTCCAACCGACTTGCGATGGCCTCCAACCTACTAGCAATGGCCCAACCTGCTAGCGATGGCCTCCAACCTACTAGCAATGGCCTCCAACCTGCTAGCGATGGCCTCCAACCTGCTAGCGATGGCCTCCAACCTAGGCCTCCAACCTACTAGCAATGGCCTCCAACCTACTAGCGGCCTCCAACCTACTAGCCAAAAAAGAGTCTCTGGTTTTTGGCCATGGCACTCATGATTGTGCAGTTCTTGTCCGTTCATTTGATAAGGGCAGTGGATGTGTCTCCTCTAATTCTTGGGTCTCCTAACAGTGTTGTCGATGCCACTTGTCGCCACACCTGACAAAAGTATCCGCGAGTATTTGAGCATGTGGAAGTGAGAAAATCAGCCTAGAATAAGTACTCTGGCAAATGGAAGAAGCTGGCAAGAAGAATAACTACGTAACCACAAATCTCAACAAAGCTTTTAGCAAATCACCCTTTTACATGTTTGAAGAACAACCAAATCCATCCTTGGCACTTCGCACCACCTGAGGCCAGGCTGAGGCAACCACACAGGTCACGGGGATGAGAGGCAATGGCGTTCACCACCTGAGCGGGAGAAGGAGCTTCCAATGGAAACTCCTTTTGAGTTGCAAGAGCGGAACTGCTTTGTTCCTAGTAGCGAATATTGCTCCTAGTAGTAAGGCCAGGAGCCCCTAGTAGCGTCCTTGCTCCTAGTAGCGATGCCCTTTGCTTCTAGTTGCGTCCTTGCTCCTAGGTGCTTATGATCGGGGGAAGGTATTTGTAAAGCCTAACGACCTAAACTTGCTCCCTCCAGCATGGTGTGGGGTAACCTCATCCAGCTGAGGTTGCGACATAGTGATCGCCTGACGCGAACTCGGACACCTCCCCTTTGATGGCCAAATGAAGAAAAAGTGTGCATATCGGAAAAAATGACGAAGTCTAGCCCCTAATAGCTTCTTGTTCCTAATAGCAAACATTGCTCCTAGTAGTACGGCCAGGAGCCCCGAACGTAGCGTCCTCCCTCCTAAGGGCCTCCCTCCTAAGGGGCCTTTACTTTCCTTTTTCCTCTCGTTCTTCGTCAGGTGCCACAGCGTGCCACAGCCACCCCACCCTTTTCTCAGGAAAAAGCAGGTTCGCTTTGCTTGTCGTAATGTGCTGCCGCTGCCCTTCGATGGGTCCAGTCAGCTAGTCAGCGAAACATTCGGCCGCTGCGGCTTGGGAGAGAAAGGAGAGACACAGCTAGGTCCGGAACGCCTTAGCTTTCTCTACCTCCCTACAAGAAGCTTGCCCACAGGGACGAGTTGGTTCACTAAAAGCTTCACTTTCAACTTTGAGGCCGATGGTATGGCCGCGTTGCTGCATAGCGGGGTCATACTTTTAAGCGATTGGATTCCCCAAGCCGTGGGAAAAGTAATCAGAAAAGTAGCTGAACTGATGTAAGATCGGTCAGCAGCTGACCTGGTCAACCTAGCTGGCTCCAATTGAGCATTGCCCAAAGGGAAAACACAAGGCCAAGAGCAGAACTGGATTCAGGGAATGTGATATGTCCACATGGTCTGAGTTGGGTGTGCAAACTATTTGGTGTGAAAATGTCGGGTGAGGTGTCTGACATGTATCTTTCACGCAAAAGGGACATATCACAACCCCTGGTTTTGGGTGGTGCTCAACCGAATCCTTGCTAGGACAGAGTGAGACTGCAAGAGATGACTCTGAAGGACAATTGCCTAAGCCTCAGAGTCACGAAAGTTGAATGCATTGAATTCTTCAGACCTCTCTGTAGATCCCATAGGCATAAAATAGACACATTGTTGCTGCATTGACTGCGTTGATTGCATTGGCTGCTCTGGACTTTGGCGCTCAGGCTTTCCATCTTTTTGCTTCGTGGTCTCTGGCATGAACGGTGGAGATAAGAAGTCCTCGGCGATGGAACCGTTTACTGGCGATAAAAAAGAATATGCGATGCTTCCTCTGCGCAAGAAATGATTTCAAAGCGAGCATGTTCAATGCATTCATAACAGACACTACTTGATGTGTTTTCAAAGGGTAGAACCAACAAGCACCAAACCCCTTAATTGAACCAAGGATCGGCTGTCCACTTGTCTGGTAAATTCTCAGTCGGCAAAGGCAAAGCATAATCCACTTCATCCTCCATGCTCGATTCGAAAATGAAACTTAGGCATGTGGTCGCGGGTCAACACAGAGAAAGAACGCACAAATGAGATGACACTCCTGCGGCGTGGGACGCTTCTCGTTGCGATGATGGTAAAACGCACAAAGCTTTTGCCGAGGACAAACCTCACGCACAAATAGAGCAGGGCGTCTAGATCAGCAAGCTCTGCACAGGGTATCTCTGCAGGTGTTCATTATCGTGGGTGGTACGGAATGCTAGATTCAAGATCTATGCTTGGAAGTTTGGAAGCTTTCAATGATGCCAGTTCACCCACTGAAACAAGGCTTTCCCTGGCCTTCCCGCGTACATCACGACAAATGACTGTCTTGAAGTAGTGAGGGTGGTACAGCTGCTCCTCAACTTACATCATGCACTGTATGTTGCAAATCTCCTTATTCCCTGGTGGTCACACACTGTCTCGGCCAAAAACATACACGAAAGCAGTTCAGTTCGTAGTCCTTGGCACCATGAGAGTATGGGCAGCGCAGGCCCAGGGGGCAGCGCTGTGAGTATTCAGCTCCTGTGTCCTTTTTGGACCAGTAGGGGCAAAGCCTGGCTGTTTTCGATCACCGTTCGACCTCTTTTTTACAAAAGGTCCCAAAAAAGACATGAAAGAAGAAGGCCTTGGGGCATGACTACCTTTCATTATGTTTTGTGTTCCATCCTCATTGTTTCTTTTCAGCTATGAATCGAAAACGAACTAAACGTCTTCTCGTCCAAAGATGGTTCTTCGGCCTGGCACCATAGCCGATACTGGGTGGGCGTCGAGCATCTTGATAGTTGTGACCATAAACGCAATTGTGCCATTCATGTTGCACACCAATTGGGCACCAATGGATCCTCAGGTCAAGATCAGCAGCTCAGTAGCCCAAAAACAAGCAAGACCTCAGATTGATTCTCAGTTTTTGTTCAATGTTTTCTTGAAGAAACAACATGACTTCATAGACTTCATAGCTCGAGCGTCTTGTATTTGTACATGAAGAATTCGTCCGTCATGGCTCCCGGCAACTGCTGCTCCTCGTGTTCTTCCAGCAACGGAGCAGAGATCCTCAGCTTCGCTCGCGACGGGACTGCGTCAGTGACTGCATCATAGATGGTATTTAAAACTTTAAAGGCCGCTCTGCACTCCAACCTAGAGCCTCCAATTAATAACAACTAAAGATCTGAATCCTAGATGCACTCTAGTAAAGACGTAAAGGAAGTTGCATCGCACTTGCTCAAAATTTCTCGCCACAGTATGTCACTTGAGGTTTTTTGGACATGTCTCAGGAACAGACACTAAATAACTCATACCTGCAAGAAAAACCTTAGATGGTTATCCTCAACAAAATGTGTCGTGGTCTTATAACCGTACCAGCAGTGATGGCTAGGGTACTGGCAATAGTGATAATTTTCGGAACAGTTGTGAGGGCCTTCGCGCATGGTGAAAAATCTGGAGAAATGCGATCGAAACCATCCTATTTGACAAAAGTCCTTTCTAACACATAGCAATTAGTGAAAAAGAAACGTTCACCTAGTTGACTGGGCCTGGGGATCACAAGTGTGAGTCGAGGTGCTCTTCCCTTGTGTGAGCGAAAGCACAGGCGGCACCGCGGCGGCATTGGCTCACATCAGGGAAGGAGGTGCAGAATCGTCGCTTTTTCCTGAAAGGATCTGCCCATCGCTCTTCGGTTGGAGGCCATTGCTAGGAGGTTGGAGAGCAACGCTAGTAGGTTGGAGGACCAGAGCTATGCTTTTGTCTTCAACGCTTCCAAAACCCTTCCCGGCTCAGCCGTGTGGTCCGCCACGCCTTCCTTGCCACTCTTCGATGGGAATTGGCCATCCCCAGGGAGTGGTAGTACCACTTTCATCCCTCCATGGCTCCTGCAAAAAGGTGCTGATGATTTTGCATGATTTTGGCTCGAAGCATCCAACGACAGTAACAAGGACGCTACTAGGGGCTCCTGGCATCGCTACTAGGAGCAAGGATGCTACTAGCGGCTCCTGGCCGTACTACTAGGAGCAAGAAGCTACTAGGAACACCTTTCCAGGTCGGCTCTCAAGTTCCTATTTTAAGTCCGTCCTGCCAGGTACTGGCTGGCACCCAGGGGCGGCCTTCGAAGGAACCTTGTTCTGGACTATAGCCTTCATGGCTTTGCGACACCTGACACACGAGTCCCGCGGTTCGACGAGTCCCAGGTGATCGCTGGCCTCTCCTAGTAGCTTCCTTGCTCCTAGTAGCGATGCCAGGAGCCCCTAGTAGCGTCCTTGCTCCTAGTAGCCTTACTAGCCGTGGCCGTGGCCGTGGCCGGCCTCCGAGTCCAATGGCTTCAGCCCCAGAGTTGCCATGGCCGCGACCCCAAGACATCCAATTGCTGCAGTCGCCGAGCATCACATCCCAAAAAACATTCCGTGGCAAATGGTTGAAAAACGATGCCATCAATTGAACACCAGATCATCGCATGCTATCTTGGAAAGAAAAAACACATATAGATGTATATATATATATATAGCCCATATAAATTATACAAATTATATATATATGCATCTGTCTAAACACAAAGAGGCTCTTATTGAGGCTCTTTTTCAGGCTCTTTGAGGCGCTTCGGTCGCGCACTTCGTGCACTTCGTGCCTCGGCGCACCAGCAGCAGCTGTGCCGAAGCGGCATCCCAGATAAAGAGGTGCCCGCAGTCGGAACCTCGTGGCTGACATACCGCTTGAAAAAAGGAACACAAAGAAGCCGAGACCGCTTCAATTCTTTCTTGCTACTTGGCATACTTTGTACTATAGTAAAGGGAAAAATTTGGTTTGTTCATGTTTGTTCCTGCCACTGCGCTGTAAGCTACGCCGAGGAACATTTCTTGGAACAGTCCCTAGCTTAAAACTTGAAGCACGTTTGAGTCTTGAACTGGAATGCTACTTGCTTGCTACAAGCACGCTTCTGAGGGCTTTAGGTGCGGGCCTTCACTCCTTTTGCTGCTGCATTGGTGCGGGCCTTCACTCCTTTTGCTGCTGCATTCTTTTGGAAACCAGGGTGCTCTCTTTTGCAGGAATTCTTTTGGGGGCTATCAAGAACGGAATAAGACTACTACCTACCTAAGAATCTATATGTTATACTTGCAAGTCTATCAGAATCACAGCAGACGCAAACAAGTCCAGTCTAGGTTAGCTTTGCGTCTGGATCATCTGTCACAAGGTGCCCGACCACTGGCCACGAGAGCTGCCTTCCAAGTGTGGAAAGCCATCAATAACAACAAGCTATTAGGGGCTCTTGGCCTTACTACTAGGAGCAAGGACGCTATTAGGGGCTCTTGGCCTTACTACTAGGAGCAAGGACGCTACTAGGGGCTCTTGGCCTTACTACTAGGAGCAAGGACGCTA